GTTTAGAGCCAGAAATAAACAGGTCCTCAGCTACCAGTTAAGTGCACCAGAATTGGGCATTTTGTCCAGGTTAAACCAGATATCAAATCATCATGTGATGTACTGTATATAGGTGGTAATGCAATATAGCTAGTAGTTTAAAACATGATCAGGCTGACCAGAACTGATGCTAGTTTTTGACAGTGGAAAATGTCCTTCAGTCTGATCCATGACAACTAAACATGGAAAATTGAATTATGGGCTAATAATAGGTGTATCTTTTATTATTAGCAATGGCAGCAGCACAGAAAATGCATTATGCATAATCACAGCCGTTAATGTCACAGTTTTCTGAAATGGGATTCACTGATGATGTTTTTTAAAGTTGTCTTTCAATGTGCAGATTATGAGTTTCTCTAATAAGTGTTTTCCTTTTCTTCCCCTTACCAGCTCACACAGGTAAGAAGAAATTTTGTCCTTGCTTTTTTCCACTTTCAGTTTCCCAATTTGTATTTCATTGCTTCTAACAATATGACCTTTTGAGCACTCTGCATTATAAGGAAGAACAAAATGCTCTAATATGTTTTCTTTCTTAAGCTTGTTTGATTTTAACTAAGTCAGGCTCTCTTTTCATTTGGACGTGTAAATTACTGTCCTTCACTGCTTTAAGCACTTGATGCTTTAAAGACACAAAGATGTTCCTTGGCATAATTTCTGTGCAGCTCATTTCCTCGCATATCAGAATGAACAACATATAGGGCTAAAGTCAAATTATTTTTACTATATTTATGTACACTGCATATTTTTTACCCCTTTCCTTCTTGTTAATTTTATGTCTGCCTTTTTTTAAGTGATTAAAAAGGTCAAAGATGCAAAAGAAAGTAAAGCCAGGGATGAAAAGAAAGCTCCACCTAAAGGTAAATTGTGTACAAGTTATTATTCTGTTCAAGTTATTCTCTTACTGCATTACTGTCAAAATCACAGAACTGAAATATTTTAAAAATAAAAAGGCTTGAGTAACAGGATATCATAATAAAAAAATTCTTACTTGCATTGATAAGATAAGATCACTTTATTGGCCATATACAATTTTTTGTATTAGGAATTTATCTTTTCACATACCCCAGCTTGCTCTCCATGAGGCACACAGACAGGGAGAGAAGCTGGGGGTCAGAGCACAGGGTCATCTA